TCAACGGATATTTCAATACTGTTATTTCCGTTGGAATTTTTCAATGGATTCCAACGGAAATTCCAACATAAATATTCTGTTGGAATGAGTTTTCCATTGGAATTTCTGTTGGATTTTGACGATTCCAACGGTGGATTTTCCAACAGGGGTGGAAATAAAAATTCCAACGGAAATTCCTACGGTAAAAAAGTTGGAAATATAGCCGTTGGAATCACCAAATTCCATCTAAAATTTCAATGAAAAACACATTCCAACGGAATATTTCCGTTGGAATTTCCGTTGGAACCATTCCAACGGAAGCTATACCATTGGAATATCCGTTGGAATTTCATTGGTATATATTACCATAGGATTTTCTGTTGGTATATAACCATTTTTTTGTAGTGGTATCATAAAAAATATTATGTCTCGACCCATAAAAATTATACATTTATATATATATATATTAAATATCATAATTTTATCTATATATTTTTTTCTATGGAAGATGCTATGGTCTAGTTATGCAACCATTTCGTCGGGGTTTGTAACCGTTAGATTAACAATCTCTGACGGTTACATGATGATATAACGATTACAAACTCTGACCGAATGGTAACGGAACCTTAGCATTTCCCTTTTTTAATATGATGTTTTTAATAAAAATATGCAGATGTAGATTAGACCAGCCTAACATAAAAGTGGAAAATGCTATGTGTCCTGTTACAGAACTATTTTGTCGGGATTTGTAACCGTTAAATCAACTATCCCAATAATTAAATGATGATCTAATAGTTAAAAACTCCGACGGAATGGTTAACGGTACCGTAGCATCTACCATAAAAGAGTTTTTCAATTATTCTAGTCACTAGTTTGATGTGGTGAATATATCTTCCATATTTTTTCAATGAAAAAAACATAATTTTTTTTATGAGATATTTAATTTAAATATATTATTTCTCAAAGGGATTATATTTCTAATTAATTTCTAAAAAGTATGTTGGTTACGTTTGACTAATGACATGCTAACATATTTTAATTTTATATTAATATGTTGAAGACGAACTCAATGTTGACTATTTCCATGAGTTATAGTCAATATTGTAACAATTTGTCCTTTTATCTTTTTTTTTTTTTCAATTTATAATAATATTGATAATATATGAGGTCATATTGCACCAGTCTTGCTAGGTCCTATCCCCGTCCCCTATATATTAATTCAGAACGCGCTGAGCCTACATGGCTGCTTCTGGTGCTTCGGAATCTTATGTGGCAAAATTACATGCTTCGTTATTAGGTTCGGATTACCATAAATATGTTGATTATTTATGGTCATGTTACATGTATTAATTGCATTTTAATATCATTCCTTATTATAACTATTGAATTGTATATGTATTTTAAAAGTTAATAGTTTTTATATTTTTTATCAGTTTTACTTATGTAATATATCAAATTAATCTTCTTTTGATGAGCTTCGATTTAACATCCATATTATATGTATAAAAAAAATAATTTATATTTATCTTTATAACAATAATAAAATTATTTTTATATTAATTATAAAAATAAAATTATTTATCAACTAATATATTTATATTTCAAGTAGTTATATGATATAAGCTATAAAAACTAATATAATATAACACATGCAAGTCATAAGTAACACATATCATTCTAAAATATATAGTAATATATTTTTTTTGTATTAATTTTAAAATTTAAGAATAATTTTTTAACAATCACCCGTGTAATACACGGGTGTTGTACTAGTTATACAGTAATCACAAGATTAATTCTTGCAAATATTTTGGTAGTTAAAAATTAAAATTCTTCAATCAAATATATACACAACTTCCACATCAAGGATTGATTAGGGTTGCAAACTAGTCGAGCCGAGCAGAATTGATTTTTTTTTTAGCTGCTTGAGCTTGATTTTTTAGGCTCGAGTTCGACTCGATAAACGGTTACAATAGCTCGAGCTCGGCTCGAGCTCGACTCACAATCAAAATGCTCGAATATTTTTAAGTGGAAAACTAAAATTATCATTAAGGACATATGCTAACATATATAAGGGATATTTTAGAATTTAACATGTATCTCGAGCCGATCGACAAGGCAAAATATAGGCTCGAGCTCGATTTGAGTTTGTTCTCGAACAGCTCAAGCTCAACTCGAGTTCGGTCAAACTCGAGCTCGAGTCGAGCGCTCGCGAGCCGCTCGGTTCATTTACAGCCCTGATTGTGATAACAATTAAATGACTTAAAAATTAAAGAATTGTCGATTGACTTGTTTTATGTGAAAGATTTGTGTATTCCCATTACGTTTTGTGTCAAAACTCAAATATTCTTTATTGACTTTTTGGTTGGTCCGAATTTGCCCTTTGACGTTTTTGTTCCCTTGTTTTGAAAAATTTATAAAAGATTTTGATCTAATGCTTCTCAGCAATCGCCAATCAGTGCATGTCGAAAAAGATGTGCAACCAATAAAAATCATTATTATAATAATGCTTCATAAACATCATAATATAACTTAAAAGTTTAGTATGTGATAGAAATATATCAAATAAATCCAGCTTGAGCAACATTTTCTTCGCATATCTTATATAATTTCGTCTGACCTTCTCACCTGAAAACCTGAAAATAGATCGAAAACAAAAAAAAAATTGAGTTGTCATTCATCAGTTATAAAGGCTACAATCTCGTCACGGAATGATTCCGTGAAGGTTTTTAGAGAATTTACAATTTTAAAATAAACTCTATTATTATTATTATCTCTTTCAGATTCCATAGGCTTCAATTTCTGTAAAGACGTTGAGAATTGCAATTTTCTCAGATTATAGGTGTCAAAATATAGTTGAGAAAGCTTTAATGGACTCCACAAGAAATATTTTTGGCAACACTTTAGGCATAAAAGGCACCATAAAGATCTGTGAGTCAGAAAGTGAGCACAAAAAATAGTGAAGCGCAATAAAAATAAAATGTTGGGGAATCTCCAAGATTCTATATTGAGCGTTTGAAAACTCTTATTTGATCTCTACCATAGCTTTTTTCATATTTCAAAAGCTACTCAGCCCACTAAATATGAAAAGATAATTATTGACATTTTTTTATGTATGTATGTATGTGACTGACATGTTAGGCAAACATAACTATTGA